ATATATATATATATATATATATATATATATATATATATATGTATTGATTTTTTGAACGATTATAAAATATGGGTTTTGCGAAATTTGATGTCTTTCGACGTGTCTTTTTTTTTGGGACGTTTAAATGACAGTGGAGGCGCTGATAAATATAAAGAACGCTTTGCACGATCCTCATGGGGCTTTGAGCAACTGGGATGAGTTTTCTGTCGATCCTTGCAGCTGGGCGATGATCACTTGTTCTTCCGACAACCTCGTCGTCGGCCTGTGAGCCTATTTATTTGTTTATAAAGAATACTATGAATTCTGTTTTTTTTTTCTGGAGCTCCGAGGAAAGAAATCGAACAGTTCATTAATGGCGACAAAATCTTCTCCAATGGCAGAGGAGCTCCGAGCCAGTCTCTTTCGGGAACTTTATCTGGGTCTATCGGAAATCTCACTAATCTCCGACAAGTGTAAGATAACGACATCTCCCTTTTGTTTGTTTTTTAATCTCATTTGATTTTTTGCTCTTGTTTTTTTCTCAAATCTCAATTCGATTTTGTCATTTTTTTTACTCTTGTAATTTGAATTTTTACCACACCCATGTTTCTGGATTTCCTTCTCAGTTAATTAGTGATGGGTTTTTATTTGAAACTTTCTTCTGTGATTGTGGATTTTGAAGGTTATTGCAAAACAATAACATCTCCGGTAAAATCCCACCGGAGCTTGGGTTTCTGCCCAAATTACAGACATTGGATCTCTCCAATAACCGGTTCTCCGGCGAAATTCCCGGTTCAGCTGGTCAGCTAAGTAGTCTTCAGTATCTGTGAGTTGTTCATCATGATCTCATACAATGAATGACGTTTCTTTCTCAGTTTCATCGTCTTTACCTCGTACAAATCTGTTCTTCTGTAATGATAAACAAATGTAGGAGACTGAACAACAACTCATTGTCTGGGCCCTTCCCTGCTTCTCTGTCTCAAATTCCTCACCTTTCATTCCTGTGAGTGTTGTTTATGTTCCTTTTTATCTTTCTCTGTTTTTCACAATTATTCTGCAATTCTTGCTCATGAGTTGAGTAATGGGTGTTTGCGTTTTTGATCTGTTTTAACTCAGGGACTTATCCTATAACAACCTCACTGGCCCTGTCCCGAAATTCCCTGCCAGGACATTCAAGTATGTCTCATTGCCTTCAGCTTTGTTCATATGGACACACTTCTTTGATCTCTCTTGGTTCTTGATTCAGATTTCTGTTGAATGCAGTGTTGCAGGGAACTTGTTGATATGTAGAAGCAACCCACCTGAACTATGCTCAGGATCAGTGAACGCAAGTCCTCTCTTTGATTCATCAAGCTCATCATCTGGTAAAAAAAGAATAAGCTCATTCTGCCTATCTTTATCTAACTTAGAATGTAATGTTGCTGCTGCTTCATTTAACTATTTGGTTATATGGTTTTATGTAAATATAGGACGCCGGTCCAACAGATTGGCAATTGCCCTCGGTGTAAGCCTTGGTTTTGCTGTTCTAGCAATCCTAGCTATCGGGTTCCTTTGGTACCAAAAGAAACAGAGACGGCTACTGATCCTTCGCATAAGCGGTTTGTCCAGTAAAGGCTTTTGCTTTATGTAATCTGATCGAGAAAGACGTGTCTTAGAGACTGTATATGCTTAATTCTTTTTGGCAGACAAACAAGAGGAAGGGCTGCTAAGCCTTGGAAATCTCAGAGCCTTCACATTCAGAGAACTCCAAATAGCTACAGACGGTTTCAGCTCCAAGAATATCCTCGGTGCTGGAGGGTTCGGTGATGTTTACAAGGGAAAGCTCGGAGATGGAACTATGGTGGCAGTGAAACGTTTAAAAGATGTGAACGGAGCATCTGGGGATTCACAGTTTCGTACCGAGCTGGAGATGATCAGCTTGGCTGTTCATAGGAATTTGCTTCGGTTGATTGGCTATTGTGCTATTTCTGGTGAAAGGCTTCTTGTCTATCCTTACATGCCCAATGGCAGTGTCGCCTCTAGGCTTAAAGGTGGGTTTGTTTCACTGGAATTTTCGTAGGATTTTCATCGGAAGCTGACTTCATTTCATCGGGAATTTCTTTTTTTCTGACAGCTAAGCCGGCATTGGACTGGAACACGAGGAAGAGGGTAGCGATCGGTTCTGCAAGAGGATTGCTGTATCTGCACGAGCAATGTGATCCCAAGATCATCCATAGAGACGTTAAGGCAGCGAATATTCTACTAGACGAGTATTTCGAAGCTGTTGTCGGGGACTTTGGTCTGGCCAAGCTGCTGAA